TCCATAGAAATGTTCCATTTCCTCCCAGCAAACACAAAGACTAGAAACAGGATCAGCTCAAAGACCAGAGATCAGCTGCTAAGTATAGTAGGTGTGTTACGTCATTAGGTATTTTGCTTGTATGTTGCTGAACTCATCTACATTTACATTCTGTGTTGTCCAGCACTCACTGCACTGTATACTTCTCATGTTGACTGGTTTGCAGATTTTATACTACACAAAAGCAATATACAAGGAAAAATAAAATCCACCACCAGCCCCAATGCCACTGTGAAGCAATTTATTCATCCAGAACGCTGAATGAAGATCTCTTTAAAAAACATTAGTGGGAATAACTGACCTCAGCTGCAGCCATGTACACCCATGCAGTATTCAAAGTGCTGATTTTTTTCTTTTGAGGGGCAACAGGAGGGACAGCAAAGGCATAAGGAGAAGGAAGCTGAGGATAAAGCTGAATCAAACTGATGGAAATGAAGTCTGTCTCAGAAATCCCCACGGCTGAGTGATTAGGGCTGAATGTCCTAAAACGCTATGAGTGGCAACAGTTTGAGGAACTGATCTGGCTAAAAATCACAATAACTTTATAAATACATTCCTGAACTAATTCCTGAACTTGCTTACCAGGGAGCTACATAAATGTCAAATGCAAAAGCAAGAGTGTGGGTGGGACTGCTGATAGGAGAAAGGGAGGAGGAGGACAGGATTGTGGCAACTTGGATTTGGATAGGCTTAAAATGAACCACACCTTTCTAGAGCCTGAAGCCTGCATATGTTGTGACATGAGGAAAACTTGACACTAAAGAGATAAAGATAGGATGGACTCTTAAGCCTGGTATCCTTTTCACTTTGATGCCTGTGACTACAGGAAAATTCTAGCTACATCATTTTCCTTACACAAGTCCCCAGTCTTGATATGAAGATTCCAACAAGAAACCAAATAGAATTTTAAAAAATGTTTAATTAAAAGATTTATGCTGTTCACGTACTAGATGTCTGTACCTTAGAAAAGACATTCTATACAACTCCACTTTAAAAGTCCTTTAATTATTCTAAGTATTGGCACAGAAATATTACATTTACCTGAAGACTCCTTGATGAAACAGTTTAGCTCCCTGAAGTTGGTAGCAACACGTGGGCTTTACTATTCTGTTTAACTACACTGAATGTTATAAAGTTCACATAATGCATGTCTTGCTAAAAAAAAAAAAAAAAAGATAAAACTCATACCAATTTAATAATTTGTGGGACTTTTTTTTATTTTACAATAATTTGTAAAAAACACACCACAGTTATACACCATAAATTCTATAAATAAATTACTTGTACTATATTTAATTTCTACAACTTTTGCAGCATTGCGCAGAGTAGTGAACCAAACACTTTATATCATGGGCACAGGAAAAAAGGAGTGTTTGTGAAGTAGAAATACAAAATATGGGAGAACCTGTCTGCAGCTGCCTTCAGTAATTTAAAGAAGGAGGCTGGAATGAGAATTTTTTTCATACAATTAAGATCAAAAATGCTGGATATTCCATTTGCTGAGTGACTGTAGGCAGCATGCTATCCTGAGTATTCAAAATGAGATTTGCTAGTATGAATATATATAACTAGTTCTTTGGAGAAAAGAATGAACAAAACGATGTCTTAGTGCACTGTTACTTCACTCTGCCTTCCATCTGAAGAAAATTCCACCATCTGTCTTGAAGAGCTTGCACAGCACACTGGTATGCTAGTGTCTCTTACTGGGTAACGCAGCATTCCTCCAACATTTTTTTTCTAAAAAGGTGGCCACAACTTAATTTTGTGAGAGGAGCTGCTTTGCATGTATGTGAGATATGCTTTCCGAATGCTTAACAGAACAAGTTCCTCAGCAAACGCAGGCAAAGCAATGCCTTGTTTCCAGATCTCAATCTAGTTTCGGCAGAAGCTAGGCCCAAACTTGCTCAGACTGGGCAGAAGTCTAGACACCCTAGTAACAGCATTTCCATGTTTGAACTGGCTAAGTTGGTGAACATCCGAAGCAATACATCAACTCGGTAAGACTTGACAGAATCATGGCTTTGGATGTAGGCATCCACATTGTATTCCTGGTGCTTAAATTCCCATTTGGATTCAGACACTATAGTCATAATCATTTAAATGCTTTTAAAAAGAAGATTAAACATAATCATATTATAAGTGTGATAGCTGTTTTATGAATGTGTAGATCCATTTGCATGATGTGTGACTGTTCATTATACAAACAATCTTATTTCCATGCGGTGGAGGAACTACTTCAGATGGGTGGAACAATTTCCCTCTTCCTTTGTCACAGGCAGGGATTTCTTGCACGAAAGGATGCTGGTTTACTTCATAGAACTTGCCTGATCATGAACTTCTTTAGCAAAACAAAGCAAATGAAAAATACATACCAGTACTAATTATCTTTACTAGTTATTCTTCCTCCTCAGAGCAGTCACACGTTTTTAGGCACTGTGCATAATGTGACAAAAGGAGAAGATATGGAGCTGTTTATTATTAATAAGCACCAGTGAAGGACTTCTCCATTTCCTCCCTGCAGGTTTGAACAGGTTCTCTAGCAAACTTGTTGTAGTAGTTTTACTGTGATGGTAAAGGTATGCTCTAACAAGATTTATAAGGAAAATTACATATTTGCAGGGAAGAAAAAAAAACATGCTTTCAGGTAGACAAATGCAAACCTGTTCAGACCACAGGGAAGACTCTCCTGTCTGCTGTCATGAAGATATTTAAATGACCGATTCCTTTCTCAGAGAAAGAAAAAAGGATGGGGCAGCAGACTTTCCTATGAAGTGTGGCCAAATTGGGCAAGAAACCAAGTTTCATATCCACTGTTGCAACCCAGTGGCCAGCTCTACTTCCACATGCAATTTATGAAGTTATGATTTGATTCTCAATCTCGTTGTATTTAGAAAGAACATTTTCTTTCCCTGAATTACTGTGATTAATTATCAGTATCTGCAAGATAAATTCTAAGTAGGATACAGAGGTGATAAAGCCCACTAATAATACATTGATGTTCTAAATATATGCAATTATATTACTACAACTACAACTAGCGAATGCCTGTCTACCAAGGCAAGAAGCAAACTTTAATCGTAAGAAAAGAGACATGGCATTGAAGGGTGCTAACATTGTGCTCACAAAACCTGATGCATTTTTGAATGTAAGCTGTCATACAGGCCACCAATTGCCAAAGCACTTCAGTAGGAGGCCCTTTAAAGAAAGTTCTAAATTCTTGAATGCAGGTAATTTAATCATCAAGTAAAGTTTGTAGCATAAGAAATATCAGTTGAAATCAACTCGTACCTCCTGTGAAGTATTTTATGTCCTTTTTAACATTTGAGCAATTTCTTCTGAATCTGACTGATTTCTTAGTTTTCATGAAAAAGAAAAAAGATTCCAGGAAGACCACATATTGATCTTCTTGGGTAGACTGATGTTAAGGGAACCTGTCTTGAAAATGATGATCACAATTAGCTTGTACCTTTTCCTAAAAAATCATCTCAATTTGCAGCTATTTAGCTAAAAAAACAAAGCTACAATTTATATACACTGAGATTTCCTCACTCCATCAACATTTATTTTTCAAACTGTTATTGTTGAGAGGTTTGTTGGCTTGCTTGGTTTTGATGAAACAGGAACTAAATTCACAGCCTGACAAAACATTTATAATTTACAATTTAAGGAATCTTTATAATACTCAATTCAAGGCATGAATCACAATATTTTTTTGTATACAATGTACGAAACATAATGCAAAAGGAAATTAAGTGGTAAATCAAACTAGAAGCGCCAAACTGCATTCCGAAGAGAACACAAGTGAAATTTGAAATTTTGTAGCAAAAGCGACCTCATCCTCCCCAGCTGGCGATTCTTTCCACAGGCTGACAGGAAACAGAAATGACCTAGCATTTTTCTGAATTAGTCATCACCCTTCATGTCAACAAGCTAACAGATAAAAATACATGTTATAACCCTTGATCATCGTGGCTGTAAATAAGACTGTATGGAGCTCTTAAAAGTTGCGCAAGATGAACATAAAATTTTATTTTTTATATATAATTTATGTATTTACACTCATTTTTATATACCTACATTTTTTGTATACACACTCATTTTAATATTTTTACACACATTTTATGTATTTTCTCATTACTATGAGAAATACCTACTCCACACAGAAACTAGTAGGCCTTATACTTCATTGTTTTCACATTTAATAAAAAGGAGATGCAAAATGTCACCTGTGTGGCTTGATTTACACATAAGCTTTACAGATATCCTGCTCACTGGAGCATAGGGTGGGAGCTGCGAACAGTGTAAAACTGGGACAGAACAAGGCACAGAAAAAGTTAGGATTTCCTTCCCAATTTTGACATGAAGGCTTCCAAGAGACTTGGCCCACACACCACTTTTCCCTGTACAGCATAATCGTCAGCAGTTTCTTGGCCGCTGTGGAAGGAGCTATACTGGGTACTTGACTGCTGCCACGTTAGGTGCCTCCTCAGTTCAGCTTAGCGCACCCGTCAGTCAGCTCCTGTCGCCGAAATACCTTGCTACCTGAAAGCAGAGTACACTGAGGGGCCGAGACATCCACACCTGCTTGAAAACAAGGAGTAAAATAACTTGTGAGATATCCGCGGGAAGCCAGGTAGGCCAGGAACTGGCTCTGTAAGGGATAGTAACTTTCTGCAGGGAGCAGACGGGACCCTCCCCCCCCCGAGGGAGGCTGGGGGCAGCCTCCCCACCCCACCCCAGCCACCCCGCACCGCAGCTGCCTCTCCGGCGGGACGCAGTGGTGAAGAAGGGAAGCCAAGCGCTACCAGCATTACCAGACCCTCTCTGGCGTACTGTACCCCGGCGGCGGTGGGATGAGGCTCCACGCTCCCGCCGTGCAGCAGTGCCGCTCCCCTCCCCTCCCCACCCTGTCCCCGCCCCACCAGCCCTCTGCGGGACTGTGCCGCAGCGGCAGGAAGGCAAACCCCGCCCCTCTGGTCCGCGTGTGGCGCCGAGCGGCTCGGCCCTGCACGGCTCGCCTCGGCTGGCCTCACCCTCGCCATTGTCTGTGAGCGTGGCGGTTCCTGCTACGAGTTGCGGGCGGCGCGGCGGCTGACTGCGATGCTGAAGGGCTCCGCGCCCCCTCAGAGGCGGCAGCGGGAACGGGCTCCAGCCCTGGGGAGCAGCCACCCCCCCTGCTGAAGACTGAAACTTTACGTCCCCGCGGCTTCCTCTCTTCCCCCTTCCCTTCGCCGACCCGGCTCGCCCTTCTCCATGTGCTGAGCGGCCGGGGGCCCCATGGACGCCTTCAGCGCCGCCAAAGCCAAAATGGGGGCGAAGAGCGGCGGCGAGACGGCGGCAGCGGGGCTGGCCGCTCCTCAGCCCGCCGCGCCGGCCCCCAGCCCCGCCGGTCCCGGCTTGCCTGCCGCGCCCGAGCCCGCTGCCTACAAGCTGGAGGACCTGGAGACCCTGGCCACCGTGGGTGAGTGCGGGAAGGCGGGAGGCGGCGGGACCGGGAAGGAACAAAGGAGCTGCTTAGGTGTCTGCCTGCGCTGTGCCGGGCGGGAGGGGATACCCCCACGTCTGCCTGTCTCCTTCCTCTTCCCGAGCGCTTTTTGGGCGCTCCCCGTCTTCCCTTTTTTTTTCCCCCGCCGCGCCCCGGAGCCGTGGCTGTTGGGCGCTGTGGGCCCTTTCTGAAGCAGCGGGGTTGGACCGTCGGCTGTTGAGCAGGCGGCAGGTGCTGTTGGGGGCTACCCCTCTCCTCACACACGCAGCAGCGGCGCTGGAGAAGGGGCCGGTAGGTGTTGCGGGCCGCGAGGCTGCCCGTGGTGGCGGTGCGCGGCCGGGGAAGACCCGCCGCAGCCCCCTTGCAGTTGTGGAGCAGTGCCTGGAGGTTGCGGAGGCTGGGGGCATTGTCTACCCGGCGGTGCTGTGCGGGAGCGGGGCCGGTGTCGGCGTCGCCGGCTGCAAGGTCGTGTTTTTGATCTGCAGCTGAACAAGCCGGTAACCGGGTTTGGCCCGTCTGTGAGACGACGACAGTCGCGACTGAAGCCTAAAGATCTGATTCATCTGGTTTAACTTCATTTACCTGCATCACGATAAAATATTCATTATTTAAATGTAGTTGTTAGGCCAGTGAGGAGATCAAACAAGTTAACTGAATACAGCTAAGTATCTTTAACATCCCCAACATGCCGTTGCCCTCAATCTTGAAGCAAAGATGCTTTGCTTGCATAGAATTTTGGTACAAGGCAAGGTTTGCATCTTCCATCTGCCACACTTACCAAAGCTGCCTCTAACCAGAGTAAATGCATGTGTTTAATAAATTGCCATTTCAGACACTGGTGACGATGTGCATTTGTTCATATCCACTCTGTCTGAGCACTGTGTTTGAACATAGGGACATTTAGTTGCATATATTTTTGCACCTGGTTTGAAGGCTTTTATGTTCAACTCTATAAAGTTTTATTTTTTTTTTCTTTATGCTTGTGAAATTATTTTGGGTAGGTTTATTTCAGTAAGTGCTGTAATTCTTAATTTCCCTAAGATCTCTTCAGCCAGAAAGGTGCGATTTGAACCCTTTTGCAAGTGAAGTTGTGGGTTTTAATAGGTCTTTAAAAATGGAGTTGGAAAGGCCTGAGAATGTTATGATCACTGAAGACTGTTATCTTCTCTTGAGGTGCATTGTTTTTTTGAGATAATGTGAACAGGCATTCTATTGATAACTGAGATTATGAAGAGACTGCTTGAAAGCAGTCCTTTTTTCGCTAGGAGTGTTTGCTGCATCATGACTAATTGCTGTGGATACAATTGTCATCACAGATGGTTATGACTTCAAGAGAAGCACGGGCTGCAGAAAAGCAGTAATTTTTAAAGAAAGCATAATAGTAATGGACATATTTCTGAAGCCAGTGAAGAAATGTGGAAGTAATCTTGGTGTCAGTTTTCTACCAAATATCTTTTTTGAGTGTTCTTTGAGGTGCTTCTTAAATATTAAGGAAGAGGAAAGTTGTGAATCCGCAAGGTGTAAAAAGAGACTGTAAAAAAGTGCGACTACTCCATATGAAGACACAGAGGAGGAAAAAGAATGTAAAAGGAGCAGATAGCTGTCTGTCAGGGCACTGACAGAATACTTAAAGAATATCTCCCTTCCATCTCTCTTCCCCAGCTTGATTTTTTTGTTTCTACTTTTCTTGAGTAACTCTGAGAAGGTGACTGTTCTTCCCATCCCCTATGAAATGTAGCTGATTGTTTTGTAGGGAGAAGGAAGACAAAATGCAAAACTTGGAGGGTATAAAAATGTGCACAAAAAGTACACAAGGCCTCACCATATCAAAGAAACTGAGGTGACTTCTTAAAACTTGGTTTTAAAATGAATTTATGAGATGCTTATGCACCTCAGTAGAAGGCTATGAGGAGGAAAGGAATTTAGCTCCTAACCAGGAAGCAATACAGGAGCCCCAGAGTGATACTGAAACTGAACACATGTATGCCTACCTCTGAGTGGCAGTGTATAAAAGATCTAGTGCCCTGCTGATCTCTCTGTAGAGCATCTGAGATCTGAGCCAGTAACTGTGAGGTTGGACTGCTCTGTATGCACCTACTAACATGCTGCATTGCATTCCTGAGTTAAATGGGCTTTAAGTTAAATCAGTGCAGAATAGTATGTAAATGTTTAGTTTAGCATGGAAAACTTATTTTTGCTTGTCTTAAACCTTTTTAAATTAAGCTAGTTAAATGCAGTTTAGGTTTATAACACATGTACTGAAGGAGTATATCTACAGGTTTTTTTTTTTAGCAGTGGTTTAAGTCAGTATAACCCTATCATCCATTTTGATCTTCCTGCACAGATGGGTGAGATTAATGTATTGTCATCAATTTCGCTACAGCAGTTTAGAGTCGTCTGCAGCTTGATTGCTGTGATAAGAATAGATGCTTTCTTTCTGCTCTTGTTCTCAAAAGTTATGTGCTCTGAGATACATGGAGATGTTTGTGGTGGAGACCGGGATACCCAGAAATACAGGACAGGAAGTTCTGGTGTCTTCTCTACTAGAGGATCATTGCTGCTTATAGACGCACCCAGGTTTAGAAACAGTATGGCCCTGGAAACTGTGAACTTGAGAAAGTGGCAAAATAGAGAGGTGAGCTCCATTCTGTTACAGCTGTTCATGGGTAATATTTAAGGTAACAAAATTACATTGGTGTCTGTGAGATTGTGGTCATCCCTGACTTCAGGCCCCTCCTCTTGGAGGATGGAATAAAGTTAATGTAAAAATAATAAAAAAATAATTGGAAGCAGTACCTGGTTTTACTGTTTTAAATATCCTTCATAGGCGAAGAGGACTAGCCCAACCACCATAGTGCAGGCTGGATTGCATGTGTCATCTCTGATTTGTGTTGGACACTCTGCCTTGTTTAGCTAAGAACTCACTGTGAGGAAAGAAGAAGCAAAAAGGAGAGAACAGTGTGTCATGAGGATTGATAGGACATTTACTTCCCCCCAGAATCCCTGGATTTAACCTTTGTTTTGGTGTTTGTAGGCCCTTTAATTAAAAGAACTGTGAGCAGAGACTAGGGTGCAGGTATGCATTTGGGGGAAGTATCCTAATATTTTGTTGATGAAGTGCAGTTACAGGTTTGAGGAGGGCACGGGAGCAGGGTGCCTGCTGGTTTCCGGCTCTAGGAGAGGTTGAACAGGAATAGAGCTATTGAAGGTGCCTGGTTGTCCACTTCTCTTTTTGAATTAATTTTCCTTTCAAAGGAAGTTGAAGTACGAATGCTTGTGTGGCACACTCAGAAACTGCAGCTCAGAAATATTCTGTGAATCTCAGTTGAATTTAGATACTCAGCTGTGCCAATACTGAGGTAGTTCTGTGCTGCACAGAAGCAAAAATTTATGTCATGACCACATGTTCATTGAAGCTTAACTGCTGAAAGTTCATGGCCCAGCCATACTTATCTGAACCTATTTCAAATTCTTTGTAGATCTGTTTTTTTGTGGGAGAGAGAGACTGTGAACGCTAGTGGCATAGTTTGAGTCATCCTTTTTTTCTTTTTTTAAATTAAATTTAATTTTATTTTATTTCTGATGAACATTTAACAAGAGCAGCCTTCCTATTCCAGTAGCCAGAGAGGCTGCAGTCAGACTCCTGTCATATATCCAGAAAGTGAGATACTAAATTTTTAATTAAGCTGTCATGAAGAAGTAATTCCGGTAAACAGAATAAGTAAGTAAGTACAAGAAAAACAGAAGATCATTCTTCAGTTTTGAGTAGATGAAGTTGGGAGAACAGTTGTTACATTCCTAAATTAAATATTTGGTAATAGGGAAAGGGGAAGGAAGAGAGCTCCAGGAGGGGAAAGATGACAAACTTATTCTTGCTGCCTCTCCTGTGAGACCTGTTTCTTGCCCATTTTTCAAAGTCCACAGCAAGCTTTATAAAAGCAAATTGTGTTTTGTAAATCTATTCAATTGATTGAAATATTTTAATAATAGTGTTTTCATGTGAAAAGATTCTTTTAAACAGCTGTTCCCATGAAGTGCTTTACACTAAACTAATGCAGAATAGAAAATTGGGCAAACCAGTATTTTAATCTTTATGAGCATGGGAAAATTTTAAAAAGTGCATGGGAAAAATGAGGCACAACATATTTTTAAATACATAATTTCACTGGGTTCGCATACAAAATATGCTAGCCAAATATATTTCAAATGGCATTATATCAGCAGGACAGTACGTACAGAGCTGCAGTCTAATGCTGTAAGAAGGAAACTGATCCTGTATAGGACATTACAGACACTTTTCCCTGTGTATAGTCCAAGTAAAAAAAAAATTGCACCAGAATGGCCAACTGCTTCTTTACTAGCAAGGAACACTGTTGGCTTTTTCTTTTTCTTTTTTTTCAGACTCGGATTAGTTCTGTTTCTTACCAAGTGTTATTTTTGGTTTCACTACTTAAGTCCTCACCTATTTACAATATTATATTCTAAGGGGCATGTGAGCATTTTTTCCTGTTTTGTCTGTTTTGTTACCTTTTTTTGATACTGAAATGATAACTAATAACGATTTTACTTGGCAGTGTCCTTAAATACCACAAGTTTTGAAAGAAAACATAGTCTGAATGTTGTGACTGTAATGGTGTCCTGAATTCACCATTACTTTTGTACATCCTTGAGACTTTAGTCATAAAGCCAAATGACTTGGATTTTGTTTTCAGGCTTTCTTGCTTCATTTTTCCTTCCCACAAGATCATACTTGTCCCAAAATAAATCGTTAGTATTGTTATAGCTGATGTTCTAGAGAGAAAATGACCAGGTGTGATTCAGCTTTCTTCTCTTGTTTTTCCTGTTACCCATTGCTGAGGTGAATTTCAGTAGCATGTTTATGAGTAGGCAGCAACAGGTCCTTTCCCATAAGTTCTTGTTCTCATTAGCCTAGAAGAAAATGGGTTGGAACAAATATTCTCTTTTATATTTCAGAA